TGCATTGACTGTCCAGGGAAGTGGCTGGTCAGTCATCCTCTGCTCTTGGATTGCCCCACTTGTGCTGGAGGGCAGAGTCCTGGGAGAGACAGTCAAATCCAGATTCAAGGTTCCTCTGCCCCTACAAGGTAACTCAGGCCACTCCCCTGTCCCCTTCAGTATATCACCACTCATTAGAAGTCCCAGGTCAGCTGCAGGTATCATCTGAAATTTTCTACTCACATCGAGTGCAAAGAACCAGGTAAACTTAATTTTGGTAACATATTTTATTTAGCCAACATATCCAAAATCTTATACCAGGATGTAATCCTAGTGGACATTATGTTTCACTTGCTTTTTTGCTGTAAGTCCTCTAAATCTCTCATGCATCTTACACTCTCAGCACTACTCAGTCTGCACACACACCAAAGGGGACAGTACAGCCCTCAAGCCCTTGTACCCTGGAGAGGGTTATGCTTGGTGTGCACAGTCCCTACAGGGCTGTGGTGCGGCCCAGAGTTGCCCTTTCTCCCCCTGGGGCCCCTCACCTCTCAGATGCCAGGAGGTGAGTCATTGTGCCCCCTTGGACCGTCCAACAGCCCTTGCTGTGCCTAGTGAGGACGCTCCCTGTGCAGAGCTTACCCCAAAGCAAATGGCAGCAGGTCGCAACTGCGCTCATGCCCTGGGTCACTCACGTGAGCCTGGATTAGGGGCGGCCGCTATGCCTGGTCATGTCTGAAGCCAGCACATGATGGGGTAGGGCTGGGCCTCCCCACATCCTGCAAGGACACACAGCCTCCGCCCCATGCCCATACTGGGGGGACCCAGGGGACTCTGGGCTGAGGCAGCAGTGGGCAGTGGCAAGAGGGCCCTAACATGCAGAGGAGTGTCCCCTGGTCTCTCAGAACCTTGCCAAAGCTTGCCCCCACCCCTCCAGATTCAGGCCTCTCCACCTCCTATAGCCCGAGAACCTCCTTTAGTTTCTGGAAAATCCCATCAGCTCTCTGGGCCATGGGCTCTGATGAAAATGGTTCCCTGCACCTGGAGCCCTTCCCTACACTCACCTCCAGCATGGTCTGGGTCACTCCCTCAGGGAAGCCCTTGCTTCTTGATTTGACTGCGGTGCCCAGTGCCCATTAGCAGCTCCCTGACTTGCTCAGGGGCCCCTGTGGGCCACGGAGCCCACATTTCTAACACTTTCCTGGAATGCTAGGTTCTCACTACCCCATGTATTTCTCTGCCTCCCACTCCCCTGGCAGAAGGCTGCTGAGTGGGGACAATGCTCACCCCCAAGCTCATTTTAAGAGGCAGAAGAGGTGGCTTAGGAGGGGCCTAGTCCAAAGCTTCCCTTGATACCTTGATATATGAGGAAACAGACTCCAGACAGGCTTAGGTGGCCAGAGGGTGGAGACTACCAGGCTTGAGGGGCACCATGTTGACCTGGCACCCCGAGGCCCTGGGCAAAGCTGCCGCAGGGTCACCATATGAAACAGCCACCTAATAGGGAATAGTAAGTACCTCATCCCTGAGGCAGACAAGCTACCTCGCCAGGTGCTAGAAAAGGGGTTCGAACTTTGCACAGGGAGTCGATTTGCCCTTTTCAGGGGTTTCCTCTCAGCCCTCAAGATTCAGGCACTGCCCAAGGTCACAGGCAGGCCTGAGGGGCTGTCCCATCTGTTCAGGACATTTCCCCTCTCAGGGCCAATCATTAATTGGCACTGCTTGAGTGGCTGATCCCACAAGTGCCCCCAGCTGCTTGCCAGCTCATGGGCCAGCTGGAGTCCCGTGCCCGGGGCACCCAACACACCTCTGACGTGGGCCAGCCTTGCTGCCCAGCCCCACTTCCTGCTCGTGACTCCCAGCAGCCCAGCCTAGGAAGAGCAAGGTGCCTTCTCAGACCTCTCCCCACCCCCAAAGCACCCATCAGGAGTCCTCCTGCCTGGAGAACTGGGCCCAGCTCAGCCTGCAGCCAGAGCCCCACTGCCCAGGAGCTGGGCCTTCATCCGAGGGCAGCGAGGAGCCCCCAGAAGGCTATAGGCTGAGCAGCAAGACCGCAGGCCTAGGCTCTAGAAAGCCCACCCCAGGAAGCGGGGCCCAGCCTGGGAGCTGTGAGGAGGATGATGCTCCAGGATGTAGCCATGGCCTGGCTGTGGACAACTGAGGCAGTGCTGAGGAAGGGGTGAAAACGACATTCTGTTCCCCCAGTGGGGACATCAGATCTGAATAAACAGGGGGGAGGAGCCTCCCAGGCTCAGAAATAGCAGGGGCAAACTTCTGGAGGTAGGAAGGAGCCTGGCATGCTTGGGGAAGAGGGAGAAGCCAGATATGGCAGAAGCTCTAGTTTAGAGATATGAGGTGCAGCTACTCAGATCCCACGCTAAAGAGTTAACTTTATCCTGGGGCGACAGGGTGCTAACTGCAGATTTTGGAGGAAGGGAAGGACATGGCACGGTGTCTATTTAATTCAGTAAGTGGGGCTAGCAGGGGGAGGAGGCAGTGACAGCTGCCTAGGGAAAGGACAGAAAAGCAGGCCCCACCGTGGACATGGACCAGACAGAGGGTGGACCAGAAAATTATACCAGGTTTCTGCTGAGACAACTGGATGTTCAGGCTGGGGACAGGAGACTGAAGCAGCAAGGTACCAAGTGTGTCAGACCATTGGTTCTCATGGATCCATGGATTTGAAGCCATGGCCAGAGGGAGTCCCTGCTGTCATGGCAGAGAGGAGAGGGGGGCCACAGTGCACCCAGAAGAACTGGCACTTCCCCACCGGGGCCAGGCTGAAGAGGAGCAGTCAGAGAGACCTGAAGACCAAGGCAGCAGCCAGGGCCCCAAAGCCGAGGATGGGAGGAAATTCAGTAATACACAGGTAACTACTGGCCTGGACAAAGACCCATGGGATGATCAAGGGTGCCAGAGGGGTCAGTGGGCATGGACAGCACTGCCAAAACATTTGCTTCCAACTTGCACAATGGGGGCCTCGGGTGGCCCCCAAGAAGCAGAGACTGAGATGGGCGCCACTATCTCAGAAGTGAGGGAATCACCATGTCCCTCGCCCCCTGAATCTCTGGGAATGAAATAAAGTCCAAGCTCTTATCCCTCTATTCAGGCACAGAATGATTTGCAACCAGAACGGGTGACAAACACCTGGATCAGCTCACTGTGTCCAAACCAAGTGACCTCGGGAGACCTTACAACTCCCCAGGGGCCTGAGAGCCCAGAGTCTCAGGGCTGAGGGCTGGGAAGGCAGGTGGGCACCTGGCACAGAGCAGGCACCCATGCCCACGCCCTGCCTGCCAAGATGGATGGGGCAGCCCCACCCTGAGCGCCTGCCACCTGGAGGGAGGGAGCTGCACTTGGGTGGTGGGCCCCAGGGAGGGGGCGGTGCCACCCACAGGCTGCTCACCACAAAGGGGCCCCCAGGGGCTTTTCTCTGAGCCACCCCCGCCCCGCACCAGTGTTCCAAGCCCTACAGAACCCAGCCCTGGCCCAGGTCCCGGCAGCTGCGGCCTATTCAGCGGGCCCAGGCTTCTCAGCCCTCCGGATCGGAAGGACGGGTTGTGCCCTCAGGCTGGGCACCCCTGCATGCCTGGCACTATGCCCACGTCGACACTTCCCCCTGACCCTCACGATGGCCTGGAGGGCAAGGCCAGTCCCCAACCCACCCTCAGGCATTCCACAGCAGTTTGCTGAGCACCACTGCACACAGGCATGGGGGACCCAAATGGGGGCCTGCTGGCTCAGAGATCACGTCACAAAAGGAAACTGAGGCCCTGCACTGCCCTGAAGGATGTGCCCAATGTCACACAATGGATTCAAAACCAGGTCAGGCTCCAAAACTCACTTTTTTCTTTTTTTAAAGAGACAAGGTCTTGCTCTGTTTCCCAGGCTGGAGTGCAATAGCATAACCACAGCTCACTGCAGCCTCAAACTCCTAGGTGCAAGCAATCCTCCTGCCTCAGCCTCCCTAGGGCCTACAGCTAGGCCTACAGGTATGTACTACTGCACCCAGCTAATTTTTCTTAGTTTTTAGAGATAAAGGATCTCACTGTGTTGCCCAGGCTGTTCTCACACCCTTGGCCCAGGTAATCCTCTTGCCTCAGCCTCTCAAAATGTAAGAGATTACAAGATGAACCATCATGGTTTGCCCAAAACTTACTTTTTTTTTTTTTGCAGTTTTTGGCCCGGGTCAGGTTTGAACCCACCACCTCTGGTATATGGGCCCGGCACCCTTCTCCTTTGAGCCACAGGTGCCGCCCAACCAAAACTTACTTTTTTAGTTAAGCTCCTCTCTGAGCATTAGTCCTTTTATCTGTAAAATGGGCACAATGAAGCCCATTCCCAGAGAGAGGGGCCATATGGCCCCCAGGACTGTGCACAGTCAGCAGGATCCTGCCACACCACATGTCATGTGTTGGGGGCTGCTGGTATCTGTCCATCTGGAGGCTCAGCCCTTCCCCAGCCAGACTCCACGGCTAAGCACCCACCCGCTGTCAGATTCATTGGTGCTCCCTGTGTCACGCTGCAGCAGTCTGCAGCAGTCTCCATGTTGTCCCCACTGCCTGGAAGCCCTTCCCCTCACGGAATCTGGACAACAATCATACAGCACTTCCTGGGGGCCAGACACTGTTCTCATCAAGCCCCCAATAACCTCCCACAGTTAATACTGCTTTTATCCGGATTTTCCAGATACAGAAATGGAGGCACAGAGACAAGCAACGTGCTGAAGTCTCCATGGCTAATGGGCAGCAGTGGTGTGTGTCCCTAACCACCGTCCAGTGCTGCCCCAACACCGGCCTTTGAATTCAGGTCCACATCAGGACCATGGCCCCAGGCCCATAGGCTACAGCAAGCCCCCACCCTGTCTCTAAGGGCTGGGCCAGGCATGGAGAAGGGCTGGGGAAGGTTGCTGAGGGCAAAGAAGCCAGCTAGTGGGAGGCCCTCAGTCGACAGGGGAGTTTTTCTAGGCCCCTAGCCCTGGTCCTAGTGGCCAGGCTTCTGGAGCCCAGAGGTGCCCTTACCTACTCGGAGCTCTTGCCCGAAGACAGTCCTCTCGCCGAGGGCGGAGCAGTTCCAGCGCCCAAAGCGGAACTGGTACTGGCACTCGTTGATGCCCATCTGCGCCCCCTCCCCGATCACAATGATGGCATCGGGCCGGCTCTGGCAGATGGCGCGCTGCCGCGGGGCCAAGCCAGGAATCTTGTTGCAGATGATGTTGGCTCCCAGGGCCACCACGGATGACAGCGCTCTGCGGAGGCAGGGAGAAGAAACACAGGCCATGAGACCGGGTGCCGGGCTGGGGGACATCCTCCCCTCTTTGTCCTCCTCCAACTCAGCCTCTCAGACTCTGCCCCCAGCCCTCAACTCACACTGGTGACCCCAGTCTGAGAAGGTACACACCCAGCCCTCCTGGCCTCAGAATACAAGAACCATAGAATCAGTCACACACATGCAGAAACCACTCTCACAAGCCTCTAGATCAGACACGCAGACCCTTCAGCTCACACAGCATCATACCTGGCATTGAACAACCACCAACTCTGGACCATCCACAGCTCCCCAGCCACTGGGTTCACCCATCACTTGCAGACACGCTGATACCCCCCAAGGCATCTGGGCCAGGCAGGCATGGGAGCCCCCACGGGACTGGGGAAAGCATCGCCTCCATAAGCCTCAGTTTCCACACCCATGAAACAGGTATAAAACACCTGTCTCCCCAACCCCACACAGGCTCAGATGAACACAGCGAGAAAGGCTGCATGCTGAGGGATGGCTGTGCTGTTTGCACTCATGTAGCAGTGGCTGGGTGCAGTCAGTGGATGAACGGCAGCTGCAGTGTCCTGGGCCCCCCAGGGGACTGTATTACAGCTCTGAGGTCCCCCAGCGGCTCCCTGAGGATGCCATCAATCTCATTACAACTCCCAGGAATTGAAGCCCCAAGCAGGAAGCCTCACCCTTTACTTTTTACTTACAGTGTTATCAGTGTGATTGTTTGTTTGTTTAATGAGGTCAAATTCCCAGAACATAAAATTAACCATTTTCAAGTGCACGGTTCCATAGCATTTAGCATATTCAGTGTTGTATGACCTCCACCTGTCAGGTTCCAAGGTATTCTCAGGACCCCAAAAGGAAACTCTGTCCATACCCACTTATCCCTCCCCATTCTCCCCTTCCCTAAACCCTGGCAACCCGCAGTCTGTTTCCTGTTCCTATGGCTTTGCTTATTTTAGACATTTCTGAGAGATGGACTCAGCCAATATGTGACCTTTTGTGTCTGGCATCCTTCACTTAGCAACAAGGTTACCCCCCAAGGGCCTTCCCTGGTGGGTGTCCCATCCTTCTCATGGCTGAGTAGTATTCTAGTTCATGGCTGGACACATTCTGTCCCCCATTCATTGCTCTGGAACGTTCAGCTCATTTCCACTTTCTGACTATTTTGAGAAACGCCGCTGTGATCGTGCACGCATAGGTCCTTGAGTTCCTGTTTTCAGTCTTTGGGGGACATATACCTTGGAGTGGAGCTGCTGGGTCATACGGTGACTCTGTAACTTTTTGAGATGTTGCTAAACTACTTTCCAAAGGAGCCACAGCAGTTGTTGGTTTTAAGCACCCCTACAAGAGACAACAAGCTGGGAGAGGGCAGGGCCTCTCTCAGACTGACTTGCAAGCAGCATGTGGCCTTTCAAACACCTGACCAGGTCTGTTAGTGAGGGGCAAAGTGTGTGGGAAGGTCCAGCAGAGGCTCCCAAAGCTGGGCCTCCAGTGTGGTGAGGCCCTCCTTCTACCCACAGCCTGCCAGCCCCTTTCTCAAGAGAAACAAGTCAGTGTTTTTCCAGGGCAGCTGAGCACCCATGGCCAGCTGGAAAGTCCCCATGTGGCCTGAGCCCGCAGCACGTGCTGCCGCCCGGCGCCCAGGCCGACACTCAATCCCTATAGCCCGCCCAGCCGGCCCGCTAATCTGGCCAAGACCTCCCCGGGTCTCCCACGGGCACAATGGGCAGAAACGCCCCAGGCTGGCGTTGAGGAAGAGCATCTGGATGGGTGGGGCTGGGAGCGGGCTGGAATCTGGGGAATTCAGCCCAAAGTAATTGTAGATCCTCAGAAAACCGAGCTGGGGAAATGAGATGGATGGGAACCCGGCAGGGCACCGGCCTCCACAGAGGGCAGAGCCACCGCAGGTCCTGGACCTGAAGGATGCTCCCCAGGCCTGAATTCTTCCAGGAGGCTCAGGGCAGCCAAGCTCCCACTGCCTGCTGTAGGAGCCCCTGCTGGGGGCAGGAGCCTGACAAAGTGGGCCTTTCTGGGACTTGTGGAACTTAGGATGGACGCTGAGGGCAGGAGTAGACCCTTACACTGGCCTCAGCCCTGGTCTCTCACCTCCAGGCAGCTCCCTACGTTCAACTCCACTAGCACCCAGACTTGACCACATCACTCCCCTGCTCAAAGCCCATCCATAGCTCCCCAATGCCATGAGACCATCCAAGTTCTTTTGCCTCCTAGGGGCCTCCAGGGACCTGGTCTCTGATGACCACCCACTTCCTTGTGTCTGCAGGTCCCTCTGGGTGCAGCCCTCTTCCCTTGTCTGGCATGCTCCTCCTCCCCACCCAGGCCCCAGCGAAAGCCCCTGTGTTCAAACCCCTTGGCCCCAGCACGGGGGCGGGGGGTGTCATGCTATGGGCACTTGTTGCAAGTGCAAAGCTCATCTCAAGGTGCCCAGCTTCCCCACCTGACAGTAGGCACGTCCAGGATAGTGCCAAGCCCGAGCTCAATCAGCTCCTCAGGGCTGCCTGGTGCTGCCACCCCAAGGGTTTGTGGAGTGGATGAATGAAAAATGAAAGAGTCAGTTCTCAAGAATCAGGTCCAAAAGAACTCCCGCCACTCAGCAAGAGAAAGACAATCCAATTTTAAGATGGGCCAAGGACTCGGACTAGACATTTTTCCAAAGAAGATATGGAAATGTCAACAAGTACGTGTAAAGATGCTCACCCTTCCCAGGCACTGGGGAGACACAGACTAAGACCACAATGAAATGACCACTCCACACCTATTAGGACGGCCCTGATGTAAAAAAAGCAAACCCAGACAATAGCAAAGTGTTGTTGGGGATGTGGAAAAATGGGAGCCCTCATACATGACTGAGGGGAATTGAAAGTGCTGCTGCCACCACAGATGACGGTGTGGCTGTTCTTCAGTAAATGAAACAGCGTTAACTGGCGATTTCACTCCTCGTAAATATCCAAAAAGATCCGAAGATGGGTGTTAGGACGGGGACTTGTACCCAAATGTTCAGAGCAGCACTATTCATAATAACCAAAGCGTAGAAGCAAACCCAAATGTCCATCGGTGGATGACCTGATGGACAAGATGTCACCTATCCACACAGTGGAATATTATTTGGCCATATGAAGGGATCAATGCTGATTCACACTACAGTGTGGAGATATCTCAGAGGCATCGGGCACCAGACACTATGACCACATGTTGTAAGATCCCATTTATGTGACCTGCCCAGAACAACCAAATACACAGAGGTAGAAAGTGGCTGGGAGGAGAAGCAGGGAGTGACTGCATAATAGGTGTGAGATTCCCAGCCAAGTGAGGAGCAAGTCTGGGAACCAGACAGAGGTGGCAGTCACAGGGCATGGTGGAAGGACTGATGCCACTGAGTGTACACATTTTATAACAGTTAAAATGGTAAATTTTATTTTATGTGTATTTTAATCACAATATTAAATAACAACATCTATACACAGGACTGCCCCACACCCCCCAGTGTAGGGTAGGACCCAGGGAAAGGGGACTGGAGGGCCCTGCCCATAGTCTCGAATGCTCCACCAGGGATGTGTGAGGCCAATTGAGCAGGAGATTGGGGGCCCTAGACACGCCCCCGAGTCCCAGTGCATAGGATGGAGGTGAAGTGAAGGCAGCAGGGAACAGGGTCACACTGATGCACAAATATCCAGATAGGGTCAACAAGCTAGGAACAATTTCAGCACTGTCTGCCTCAGGTGGGGGTTCCACTAGCAATATTGATGCTCCACTTTAGGGCCAGCTCTGGGTGTTTGAGGACCTCTTCTGAGTCTCACTTAATCCTCACCTTGAAAGGTAGCCACCCCATCCCCAGGTGTGGGTGTGGGGTTTCAGGGAAGCTAGGGGGCTTCCAGAACACAGGTGGAGGCAGCATTGTGGATTACAGAGCCACACACAGTGGGTGCCTGGCTCACACCCAGGGACAGCCTGGGCCAGGCACAGGGCCCACTTCTTACTCTTCAAACAGCTGAAGCCCTTCTCTGTTAAGATCCTTTAGGCCATACTCATTCTGGGTCCACAGGCCTCCATCATCTTCCTCATCACCGTCCAGTTGGACCACTGCCCCCCTCCTTGTACCCCCCTTCCTCCTAGAGGGGAAGGGGCTGCAGACAGGTGACTGGGGCAGGAGAGGTAGGGTGGAAATACTACACATAGTAACTAAATAGGCAGCCTTTGCAGGAGGCCAGCTGGACGACCAGGAACAGTGCTGGGACCACTGCTGCTGGGAGTCAGGGCCCTTTGGGGTGGATGCTGCTTTCACCTGCAAAGTGAGAACCCCTCTGAGCTGGCATTGTGGCCTTCAGCGGTCTGCTCTGGTGCCCCACGGGTTGGCCAGGGAGGCTCTGAGCAGCCCACAAGCACAGGGGTGCTGGGCGGGGACTTCTGAGTTTCAGGCACTGGCATTTTCCGTAGACAATTCTGCTCTGGGCTCATCTCCTATGCTGATCCGGGCATCAGAACATAGGCAAGATGCCAGGAGGAGTGGGCCACAAGTCTGGAAACTGCTTACCCTGGCCCAGGCCAGTGCCCCACTGGGCACTCACAGGGGAAGGGTTCATCCCTCAGAAAAGAAACCCCTGCTCATCCCCCAGGGACTGTGGACAAGGCCCTCTGGTCTCAGCATGGGGATCTGCATGGGGGATAAGGGGCCACTGGAGGAGGGGGAGGTCCTGCTACTGATGAGCAGCCCCAAGGGAAGGGGGGTCCCTCTAGACTGAGGGGTTCAAGTGGGGGTGAGGGTCAGGTGAGGACACTCCCTGGTGACAGATGGGAGCAGAAGTGGCTGGGAGGTAAGTCCTCCACTGCGCCATCCAGGTGCTTGGCTGCCCCCTGTAGCCCTGGGATCAGGGGCAGGACCCTGAATCTGCCTCTTCCCAGGTGTGAGACTTCAGGCAAGTTTCTCTACCTCTCTGTGCCTCCATTTTTGCTTCTGTAAAA